CTGTCAAGTGCTGTGAATGATAAACGTGTTTTCATACAACTTGCAGTGTACCTGCTGTTGGCAGGAGGCATGTAAAATCCTCAGTGGTCCCTCTTTTCATAGCATTGCTGTAGTATTGAAATTTCCCTTTGTTAGTAGATAGTGGGATATAAACCCATGTGGAAACCCCTCAGCTTGACGAATTTGGGGTCATGCTATTTTCAGAAGAGGATTTCCTGAGACTGGGAGCAGTCACCCAGAAAAAGCTCTGGGAAGATGGTAGTGCAGTGTTGAAGCTGAGCTGCTGGCCCCTGGCTTGTCAGTAGGTGGAGACCAGAGACGGGCAGAGCTGCTTATCTCACAGTACTTCCCTTCCCCATCCACCTGTTCTGGTGGCTCACTCCCCACCAGTTTCACAGGATTGCTCCACGCAAATGGAGAAAATGGTGCAGGTTGAAGCTCTTGGCCCTAGCTTGTGAGCTGGCTTCTTAGCACCTCCAACCACAATCTCCTTGAACATAGTCTCCTCAGTCTCTCTTTTTGGCAAGGAATATAAAATTTCTAGTTGCCTTTGTGCATAATCTCATAACTTTTCTGCACCTGCAGTTCATTAGTTCTTTTCTGACTGTGGCAGGTAGTTAGCATGTTGCAGTTGTTGGTTAGTTGTTTCATATGGTTGATCATACAGCAGCTACTTGGTCCCATTGTTATTGTTAGTACTCTGTAAAACTAGTTGTCATTGCTGGCATTTTTTTGTTCCATTGTCTAATTATTTGTTTTCTAATACATTTTTATTATGAGATACCTTTCATACAGATGAGTACATATCTAAGAGAATAATTTTAATTCCATGTCCATGTAACTCTCACCCAGGTTAAATAGATGTTGTGTACCTCACAGTTTCCTTCATGCGCTTTCCGGATGACAGCTCCCCACATCCATACACACATCTAATATATACTATGTGTGTGTATACATATATTTTTTAAAATTAATTAATTATTATTATTTGAGACAGTGTTTTGCTCTGTGGCCCAGGCTGGAGTGCAGTGGCATGATCATAGCTCTCTGCAGCCTCAACTTCTCAGGCTTAGCTGATCCTCCCACCTCAGCCTCCATGGTAGCTAGGACTACAGACATGAGCCACCACTCCTGGCTAATTTTTTTACTTTTTGTAGAGATGATGTCTCCGTGTTGCCCAGGTTGGTCTTGAACTCCTGGGCTTAAGCAATCCTCCTGCCTCTGTCTCCCAAAGTGCTGGGCTTACAGGTGTGAGCCAGCATGCTGACCTTTTCATTTTTAAGACAAGGTCTCACTCTGTCACCCAGGCTGGAATGCAGTGGCAGGATTATGGCTCACTGCAGCCTTGAACTCCTGTGCTCAAGCAGTTGTCCTGCCTTAGCCTGCTGAGTAGCTGGGACTACAGGCGCACACCCCCATGCCTTGCTGTGTTATTATTTTTTTGTAGTGATGGGGTCTCCATGTGTTGGTCTAGGCTGATCTTGAACTCCTGGCCTCAAGTGATCCTCCTGCCTTGGCCTCCCAGAGTGATGAGACTGTAGATGTGAGCCACTGTGCCTGATGATAGCCTATATTTGGAAATAATACTGTCCTTTTCTCTTCTTTCAGATTTTACCATGTGAGAATGCATCCCCAAGCAATGTAGTTCAGTTTTGCCTGTGGTGGAACTTTATCCAAGGGGAGTCATCCATGTATTCTTTTGTGTTTCTCTTGATTTATTAATGAGGTGGATTACGTACATTGATTTTCATACACTAAATCATGGTTGCATTCCCATCATCAATTCAACTTGATCATGCTTGATTGATCACTTTAAAAAATATTGTTGGATTGAGTGTGATCACATTTTGTATAGGATTTTTACATCTGTATTTGTGAGACTGGCTTACCTCTTAATTCCTCATCTTCACAAAAGTATCTTGTTGAATGTTGGATGTAACTTTCTAGAGAAGCCATCTAGGTAGGCATGGAGTGTTCTTTGTAGGATGATTTTTGTTTACTGACTATAATCTGTCCCTCCCTCCCTCCGTTCCTTCCTTCCTTCCTTCCTTCCTTCCTTTTTTTTTTTTTTCCTTTTTCTTAAGATAGGGTCTTACTCTCTCTGCCAGGCTAAAGTGTGATGATACAGTTTCAGTTCACTGCAGCCACTGGCTCCTGGGCTCAAATGATCCTCCTGCCTTTTTCTGTTTTCTTTGAACTTACTTTGTTTTTCTCATCCTGACTTGAGGTAGGCACTCACTAATTTTTTTTTAAAGACAATCTTGTTCTGTCACCAGGCTGGAGTGCAGTGGCCTGATCTCAACTCACTGCAACCTCCTCTTCCCAGGTTTAAGAGATTTTCTTAACGCAGCCTCCTGAGTCACTGGGACTACAGGTGCGTGCCACCACGCCCAGCTAATTTTTGTGTTTTGAGTAGAGCCAGGGTTTCACCTTGTTAATTAGGATGGTCTCTATTTCTTGACCTTGTGATCCGCCCACCTCGGCCTCCCAAAGTGGTGAGATTACAGGTGTAAGCCACCGCACCCAGCCTAATATTTTTACTCCTATTCCAGTTTGAGCGCTGAGCTATACATTTCCCTCTGATGTACTGCTTTATCTGTGTGCCACACAGTTGCATACATAATCTTTTCTAGTTTTAAATTCTAAATATTTTCTGTTGTCTCATGTGATTATTTTGTCTGTGCATTATTTGGAAGTGTATTGCTTAACTCTCAAATGTATGGGGACTTTCTAGTTATATTTGGGCTATTAATTTCTAGGCTCATTGTGTCATGGTCAGAGGATGAGCGCTGTCTGATTTCAGCCACTTGAAATATGTTGACATTTTCTTTATGACTGGGATATGGTCTGTTTTTAGAAGTGGCACATGTGTCCGTGAGGAGCTGGTGTATGATGCACTGTTAGGAGTGTTTTGTGTGTGGCCACCAGGCAGCTTGTTAATTGTAGTGCAGATCTTTCATCTCTCTACTGTTTTGTTTTTTCAGACGCTGTCTGCTGTCTGTCACCTGCTCCTCTCCACTCCCTCCGTGACAAAAAGACTCCCGTGTCTTTGACCATCTTTTATTGCACCCCTACTGTGATCTTAGTCGTGGGGCCAAGCACTCCACATCTGTTCCTCCATTTAATCCTCACAGCACCATCTGCAGCGGGTGTTCCTTGTGTCCTCAGCCTGTCCTCATAGGAGCAGGCCTGGAAGGGGCTACGTCACTGTTCTAGTCACTTGGCTGTGAGGCTGCAGTCTAGGGTGGTGGCCTGGACCCATCTTTCCTGGAAGCCATGCTTTTACTGAAACCCCTTGCAATCTCCCAGCAAGTATGGCAGTTTTACTTCAGTTGGTATGAATATACTCAGATTTGAGGCAAGCATTCTAATACTTGATGGTTAGACTTTGCAGCTTCCAAAATCCATCCACATATCACCTGCTCCCTCCCCAGAGTGGCTGGGCTTCCCATCCAATTTCCCATCCTGCAGACAGCCCAGGGAAGTCAGATTTCCTGGCCAGACTTGCAGAATTGGTGGGATGTGATATGGGCACTAGAACCCAGTTCTGTAAATCCTGGTTTCATGTCCTTTCTGCTGCCTTTTTCTTTCTCTGTTTAGGCAGTGGTCTTTTTGGTGTGTAAAGCTTCTAGAATGGATTTTATTTCTCTGTGGCTCTTTAGATTGAGGGAGGAGCTTGGTGCCGTCTGCAGAGAAGCCTGCTTAACTCTGCTCACTCGGGGGCCTTACTCTCTGCCCACTGGGGAGGGGCTGTGGCAGAGCTGGATTCTGACTGATAGGAGGCAGTGCTGAAGGTCAGAGGCCAGCACTCTCACACTTGACGCTCTCCACCCAGGCATGGTGATTAGGACCACTGTGGAGGGTGATTTGGGAGCTTAAATCTGGTGTGGTGATGAGAGGATCATTGATAGTGGGGACAGTTCTGGATATGTGGCTCACATCCTTTGCGCTGGACAAGATGACTCTGTGACCTGTAATTCCAGGCTGATAGAGCATTTTCATTGACAGCCCATTTGACTTGGTGGTGCTAGTGTAGGACACAGGTGAGCCTGTCTCTCTGTGTGTCTTAGGCCTGTCCCAGCGGATGAGCTGACGTATGTTCTGGATGAATATCAGCTGGTCACAGGTGGGAGGTTTGGAAGGTAGCCTCCAATCTCTTCTGAGGACTGCAGCAGTGACTGGGGCAGCAGGAACCCACTCTGATGGCCTGGCCAAGTCTGCACAGCAGGAGCTGAGCCACATTCACACGCACCTCATCCTCCACACTTCACCTCCTTCCTCCAGGTTCCCACTCCAAAACCCACTCATCCCTGGAAACAGCTCCATGAGACTTTTCTTTGGAACTCTGCAGTGGAGAAACCCATTGCAGACTTCTTCTTTTGGATGTCAATTTGCATTTCAAGAAGAAAATGTTAATACTCCATATTGAGGTTTCATATGTATATTAGCATGTAGAAACATTTTCTCTAATGGCTTGCTAGTAGAAAATGTTTTCACAGAGAGCAGAAACGAGATGGAGATACTGCTTCACAGCCTCTGCTCCAGAAGCAGAGGTGGCCTGTAGCTTCCAAACTTCTGCAGAGCAAGTGCAGGGATGGTGCATCTCTGTATCTGGACTCACATTCCCATGTGTGCATGCGTAGGGGGCATGTGTGTATTGTAAAAAAGATGAGTAAATCTGAGTACTTTTTATATGAGTACTTCTGCCTGAGACTTCACTCAGCTTGAGGCCTGGCACCGCTGATGCCAGTATGTTGGGCGGCAGTGATCTGGCTGCGTCTGTCACAGTGCCTCTCCCTGCTACGGGAAGATGGAAGAAGACGACATCCAGTGTGCAGATCCCCTTTACAGATTAGAAAGAATACATTCAAAATAAACTTGTATTTAGGAAGACTTTTAATGAAGACTATTTATTGTTATTGAGTTCACTTTTGAAATGGGGAAAAAGCTTTTGATACTGAATGAAACAAGTGTGAAGTCATTGAATCTCTGTTACACAGAGTGGAGCCTTTCAAGCTGGCATGGAGAGCTTAAGGAGCGACTGAGGGAGACTGACGCTGGCCACCTGCAGAGTCCTGGTTACTTCAGTGCTGCTAAGATATTCTCTCATTCCACTCGCACCGAAGGAAGCTGCCTTGGGATCGGAGCAGACATAAAGCTAGACAAATTTCAAGGTAAGTAAAAACCTGTAAAGATCTGATAAAATCTAACTGGTAGAAATGCCTGTTTCTTCATGCAAACTGCTTAATTAAGCCTTTTGGCTTGCCTTTGAAAGGTGCTTTATTGAATAATTCCCAGCACAGATTATCTGTTACTGTTGTATTTCTAATCTTACTGCAGCCTTAGATCACTCATGAGACCCTTCTGCTCTTTCTGGGGTGGTGCCTGCTGCCCTCCAGTGGCATTTATAGCACCTGCCACCCTCTTTGGGGTCACACCATTTTTTGAGTCAGTGCTTCATGCCAGGTACTAGACTTGGTGAAAGCCATTTACCATCAATTATTATTTTCTTAGAAGTAATTAAAAGAAAATTTCCCTGTAATCCTGGCACTTTGGGAGGCAAGGCAGGTGGATCACTTGAGGCCAAGAGCTCGAGACCAGCCTGGCTAAGATGACAAAACCCCATCTCTACCATAAATACAAAAATTAGCCAGGCATGCTTGTACACGCCTGTAGTCCCAGCCTCGGGAGATTGAGGCAGGAGAATGTCTGGAACCCAGGGAGCGGAGGCTGCAGCAAGATAGATTGCTCCATTGTACTCCAGCCTGGGTGACAGAGTGAGACTCCATCTCAAAAAAAGAGAAAATTTCTATAGTACTTATTTTTGGTGACTATCCCATGATTCAGTGTCTGCTTTTGAGAGAACTTGAGTCAAATACTAAGATCCCAGTAATGTTAGTATGGTGTCAGTTTAATTTACTTATGACCGGCTGAGTGACTAACTCAAGAAAATCCAGTTGTACATTTCCAAGGAAGCTTTTTCATGGGTTCAGATGAGGTTAGGGGAAGGAGAAAGTGTCAGAGGGCCACTGCAGGATTGAAGAACACAGATGTGCTCCTGTGTTCATTTGCTCTGTGGATATTGATGAGTACCCACTGGGTCTCAGATGCCCTCTGGGCATGGCAGGGACCAGGAGCTCGTTTGGCAGCTGTCCTGTGAGCCACTCACTGGACGTGGAGGGAGGGGATGGGAGTTCTGGATGACATGCAGAGCTGTGAGGAGGGGGCAATCGCGAGGGCATGAGTTTGGATGGATGGGAGTGGCTGGGAGCCCATGGGGGACGCCGTCTTTGGGGAGTAGAGACACGCCTATATCTGACTAGTGGGTTTTGAGTTTGTGCCAGCAAAGGCCCGACTTACCATTTCTGTCTGTAAATGTCAGGAATTTCAGATTACTGGTTCCCCAGTGAGACCTTTGAAGGTGGTTTAGCTTCAACCGATGCTTTTTATGGCAGGGGGAGGGGAGGATACACAGGCAGTCCAAGTATGGGAAGGTCAAAATCAGGTCACCTTTATCTTGGCTTGTGCCAGTGGGACAGAATTGTATTTTCAGCCATAAGGCTTCTTTTAGCTTAATTAGTGATAGGAAATCAGCTTCTTTGTAACCAGAGGTTATTGAAAGAATGAGAATCCCAGAGTTGGAATGAGTCTGAAAGAGACATTGTGATTTAATATTGCCAAGTTAAGTGTTAATTTATGACTACCTATTTTTAACATGCTATAGAAGAAAGCATTGCATTAATTATGCTATATATGTGAAATAGCAAGTATTTTTATATAATGTAACTGTGTACTAGAAAATGAATTATTTATAATCCATTGTACCAATAAATTGTTCTTAAAAGCATAGAAATATAATCGGGCCAGAAGGAGATATCTAAAGCATGTGCTGAGAAAGCAAAACTGAAGAGCTGGAAATTATAAAATATTACGACATGATGAGTCACATCTCCTCCTCCTGATTCTGTGTTACTAAATGTTAGCTGCAGGGTAGAAATCATGTCTTTCCTTTCTTTCATAAAATAAGAGCTAATTTCGACAGCAAACAGTTTGGTGTGTTATTCTTTTCCCTCATCATGGTGGTTTAAATAAAAATAAATAAACATGAAAGATTTTGGCTGAAAAATCTTTGGAAGCACGGCCATCCACAGTCTCACTGCGTCATCGGCCTCTCTCTGAGCCTACCTCGTGGGGCCTGCGTCAGTGTTGTCTGTGCAGTGTAGCCACAGGTGCACTGTAGGTAGGTGTGGGCGTTGTTTTTAGTTTCAGACAGTCTCACTGTTTTTGCCTTTCTTTTTCCTTGAAAAGACTGAAGTTACTTCTTGTGTCTTTATACATGAGATTATCTTCTGAGGCTGCAACATCTTGGAGGGATACATAGATAGAATTCCTATAGTAATTCCGCTGCTCAAGGGGAATTGCTGAGAAGGGCTTCAGGAAACCTTGACTCTTGTTTAAACTTGGAAAGCTTTCTCAGTCTTTCGCATTGCCACCACACACCACATCTTGTTTTCTTAACAAATATTTATTAGTTGATATTTTTATTTTAAAATGAATCTCATAGAAGGTATTACCTTATGTAATTATAGCAGTGTCATGCCCAAATGTTATCTAAAGAGAAATTGAAAATATGTAATAAAATGTTCACACAGTGCCACTGTGTGAACACAGGCACTCCTGCTTTCACTGAAACTACTGAGTGGTATGGGACTGTCAGTGCAGGCAGATACAGGGTACCGAGCTCGTGGCCTGACAACCATATGCAGTGGAGCTGGGTGGTATTACTTTCTGAAATGGTCAGCCCTGAAAGCAGCGTTCAGTCTTCCCTATCTCTAGATAGTCTCTGTATTTTTGCAACATTGAGTGTATATTAAAAGTATAGAAAAATGCATTATGTGGATCCAAAACTCGGCTGGGTCTGGGCTTAGACAATTATGAACAGCCTTTCCACCTGCATTGAAGTCCTTTTGGGCAGGACAGTTTTTTGTTTCTGGGATGGTGCTGCTCCCTCCAGGAGGTTTAGGAGTGCCCATATCACTGTGATGCCTAAGCCACTTCTCGTGTTGTTTCCTGTTGCTACCACCAGGCATTGCTGCCACCTCCTGCTCCGTGCACAGTGTGGCTGCCTGATCGACTGGTCAGGAACTAGAGTTCTCTTGAAGCCTTGACTGAAAGGAGAAGTGAGGAGCGGCATGGAGCCCAGTGCCAAGAGGCAGCCTCGTCTTTAGGCGCTTTTCAGGAGAGCTCTTGGGGCCAGAAGGAGGGAACCATCGTTCAAGGCTTACATAGCATGGAGGTGCCCTCCCTGGGGTGTCCTGTGTGCTGACCTCTGTCCTGGTGCCTGGTGGTATCCTGGTGAGGAGTTCCATGAGCCTCTGTAGGGCTCTTCTCTGCAGGGAGGTCCTGGAGATGGGCAGTCTGGGTGGACTGTCAATCCATTGAGGGCCTTCGAATGAAGCACATTATTTAAGGGCACTAATTCTGGATCCTCAGATAATGGTGATAAAAAGTTGACATTTTTCTTCCTTCAAAGTAATCTATTGACTAAAATAACCAATTAAGCAAAGGTGATGCTTTAGTACCTAAATATTCCAGAAGATTACTGACATAAAGTAAAAATTTGGCTAAGAACAAGAAGTCTCTCAGAACATGCTTTTCTGGCACAAGCCCCTGCACCAGGAAGCTATCTGTGTGGTGTTTGGCCTGACTGATTTACATCAGCTTAAGGGCGCTCAGGCGCATGGCGTCCCACTGTAAGGTCAACGGACGGAGAGCAGCTGGCCAGGTCAGAGGATTCATTTCTGTCCAAGGCTTTGTGGGGAATGAAGATGGCTTTTCCAGTAGCCTCTGTCATTCCAGAGAGTTTTAAGATTGCTTTTATTTGTTGTTCTACTCTGGAACTATGAAGCCAAACCAAAAAAATGTTTCCACACCAGGTTTTGCCCAGAGTCTTTAAAAATGTTTATGAACTTTTTTAACTTGAGGCCCTCACAATTTTCTGGGCCCCCATAAGGTACAGAATAGGGGCCAGGCCTGCTCCCTTGTGAGGGCTGGGTAGACATTGGCTACCCTGGGCACGGATCCTTCCTGTGGATGGCTTAGGAGATGTGAGATTCATTTTCAGATGTGACAATCCAGATGTGGGGTTGGTGGCACATTTTTTTCCCCCAGTTATATCTGAGTAAAAGGAGGACAAATTCTTAACTGAATCTATGCAATAAACTACATTGTCAGGAAGAGTAAAGTGTCTTAGTGTGAGTGTTCCTGAATTCTGAAAGTTCAGGAGCAGTGTTACATTTCAGCTTTGAAAGCAGTCTACTGAATTTATGGCTAGAGATAGATGAAGAGAAAGAGAAGGGGCCTTCTTGTGCACACATTAGTAAATATAACATTAAAGAGAATACCAGCACTATTCCAAAGCCACAATCAGCATTTCCCTGCCAGCTCCTCAAGTCGTACTTCCTGTCTGCTGGCTTGTGGCTCATCAGTCAGTTGTCATAGTCATGTGCTTCTTGGCTCAAAGCCCCTGGGAGCCCAGCTCATTTCCCTGGTGGAGTTGGATAGTTGTCGAAGGGGTATCAGGTTCTCTTCAGCAGCCTGAGCCCAATTCTGTTCCTTGTGGTGTCAGTAGTGAAGGTCCCTGTGCATTCATTTTCTGTCGTGCAGGGGCTGATGTCGCATCTGACTCTGAGGGTCCTCTAACAGCCCACTGGCTCTTGGCAGAGCTCAGTTCCTTGTGGCCATAGGCCTGTGGGGCTTGGCTCCTGGAGACTGCCCATAACCCCTGCCCTGTGGCCCTCTCCACAGCATGGCAGTTTGCCTCTCAAGGTGTATAGGCAAGGATCTCTCCTCTTCCTTTCCTCACTGACTTCTGCCTAATCAGGCCGGACCCACTCAGGAGAATCTCCCGTTTGATGAACTCAGTCACCTGATGAGATGCCTTAATTGCATCTGTGACATCCCTTCACCTTTGCCTTATGTAACACTGTATCCCATCATATTCACAGCTCCTCCCACCCGCAAGGGCAGGGGAATGTACAAGGTGTGTACCCCGGGAGCAGGATGCTAGCACTACACTGACTGAGGAAAGAATGTGTCACACCTGTGTGTACCTGAAAGGTGTGTGCCCAACAGTGGTGTGTGCACCTGACAGGAGTGAGTGTGTCTCACATAG